AAAAACGGTCGTCTGTTTAGGTAATTCTTGGTTGTTTTGCCTTACAACATCAGACCATGAAAAGCCTGGCAACACAGTCGGTTTAGGCACATCCAATTCCTTTGGAACCGGTTTCCTCACAACTTGGACTGATGACAAAGTCGAATCTTTTCTTTCCTCATCAATGAAGGTAACGTTTTTATGAGTATCGCTTCGTATAGGTAGCTCATCTTCCTGAAGCGCCTCAACCTTTTCTTTTCCGGTCTTTTTCTTTTTCAATTTATCTGCTTTCAAAGGCTTTCCTTGCTCAATGGTATCGGAAACAATATCAACCCAACTTGAGATTGACACAGGGGGTTTAACTTCGGATATTTTGACCTCCACAGTGGTAGCTTCGTGCTTAAATTCTTCTAACTTTTTGGATGGTTTATTTACAACTTTATCAGTAACTACCACAGCTGAAGAAGTGGGTGTTGGTTCGATGAGTTTGTCATCAACAGTCTTCACCTCCACAGTTGCTTCCACCAGAGTCTCAGGTGTCTGCACCTCTTCGACCGTTTTGATGGGTTTCTCTTCAACCACTTGAGTGACGTCTTCGACGGATTTCGTTTCGGGAACCTTTACTTCCACTGCTCTAGTAACAACAGTGGTTGTCGTAGTTGTTGAGGTGATCTGAGACACTCGTTCTTCTGGTTTATCTTCTTCGTCAGATAAGACTATAGGCTCGTCCGGAACATCCATCCAGGTGCTGGAAGACTCATCAATAGGAAGACCGGCATAAGCAGGTTTCTTGGCTTCCTCCTTCACTGGTTCAACGGGTTTCTCTTCCAGAGCCTTAACCTCAATAACTTCTTCAATCTTTACGATCGGTTTCTCTTCAACTACTTGCGGAGCTGTCTCGATTGAGTTGGTTTCAAGAGCCTCTACTTCCACTGTTTCAGTAACAATGGTGGACGTAGTTTCTGTTTCTTCCGATTTGTCTTTTTCGTCAGATAGGAACATAGGTTCGTCCAGAACATCCATCCAAGTGCTTGAAGACTCATCGATAGGAAGACCGGCATAAGCAGGTTTCTTAGGTTCTTCTTTAATGAGTTCAACGGGTTTCTCCTCCAGGGCCTTAACCTCAATAACTTCTTCAAGCTTTACGATCGGTGTATCTTCAACTACTTGCGGAGCTGTTTCGACTGGTCTGGTTTCAGGAGCCTTTACTTCCACAGCTTCAGTACCAATGGTAGCAGTAGCTGTCGTGGTGGTCTGAGACGCTGTTTCTTGAGATGCTTCTTCTTCGTCAGATAAGAACATAGGTTCGTCTAGCACACCCGCCCAGGTGCTTGAAGACTCATCGATAGGAAGACCGGCATAAGCAGGTTTCTTGGGTTCTTCCTTAACTGGTTCAACGGGTTTGTATTCCAGAGACTTAAACTCAATAACTTCTTCAATATTTACGATCGGTTTCTCTTCAAATTCTTGCGGAGCTGTCTCGATTGAGTTGGTTTCAAGAGCCTTTACATCCACTGCTTCAGTGACAATGGTAGACGTAGTAGTAACTGTCACGGTGGTCTGAGACACTGTATCTTGAGATGCATCTTCTTCGTCAGATAAGAACATAGGTTCGTCCAGAACATCCATCCAGGTGCTGGAAGATTCGTCGATTGGAAGACCAGCATAAGCAGGTTTTTTGGGTTCTTCCTTCACTGGCTCGACAGGTTTCTCTTCCACGGCCTTAACCTCAATAACTTCTTCAACCTTTTCGATCGGTGTATCTTCAACTACTTGCGGAGGTGTTTCGACAGGTTTGGTTTCAGGAGTCTTTACTTCCACTGCCTCAGTAGCAATGGTGGATGTATTAGTAACTATCGCGGTGGTCTCAGATACTGTTTCTTGAGATGCTTCTTCTTCGTCAGATAAGAACATAGGTTCGTCTAGCACACCCATCCAGGTGCTTGAAGACTCATCGATAGGAAGACCGGCATAAGCAGGTTTCTTGGGTTCTTCCTTAACTGGTTCAACGGGTTTGTCTTCCAGAGACTTAAACTCAATAACTTCTTCAATATTTACGATCGGTTTCTCTTCAACTACTTGCGGAGCTGTCTCGAGTGAGTTGGTTTCAAGAACCTTTATATCCACTGCTTCAGTGACAATGGTAGACGTAGTAGTAACTCTCACGGTGGTCTGAGACACTGTATCTTGAGATGCATCTTCTTCGTGAGATAAGAACATAGGTTCGTCCAGAACATCCATCCAGGTGCTGGAAGATTCGTCGATTGGAAGACCGGCATAAGCAGGTTTTTTTGGGTTCTTCCTTCACTGGCTCGACCGGTTTCTCTTCCACGGCCTTAACCTCAATAACTTCTTCAACCCTTTCGATCGGTGTATCTTCAACTACTTGCGGAGGTGTTTCGACAGGTTTGGTTTCAGGAGTCTTTACTTCCACTGCCTCAGTAGCAATGGTGGATATATTAGTAACTATCGCGGTGGTCTCAGATACTGTTTCTTGAGATGCTTCTTCTTCGTCAGATAAGAACATAGGTTCGTCTAGCACACCCATCCAGGTGCTTGAAGACTCATCGATAGGAAGACCGGCATAAGTAGGTTTCTTGGGTTCTTCCTTAGCTGGTTCAACGGGTTTGTCTTCCAGAGGCTTAAACTCAATAACTTCTTCAATCTTTACGATCGGTGTATCTTCAACTACTTGCGGAGCTGTTTCGACTGGTCTGGTTTCAGGAGTCTTTACACCCAATATTTTAGTGACAATGGTGGTCGCAGTAGTAGCTGTCGTGGTTGTATGTGACACTGCGTTTTCAGCTTTTTCTTCTTCGTGGTCCAGCACATCCATCCAGGTGCTGGAAGACTCATCAATAGGAAGACCCTCGTATGCAGGTTTCTTGGGTTCTTCCTTCGCTGGTTCGACTGGTTTCTCTACAACAGTCCTTACTTCCACAACTTCATCCACCGCGCTGTCAACTGGCTTCTCTTTTTCAACATTTTCTTTTGGTGTTTCTTTGGCTACTTGCAGAACTTCTTCGATTACAATTGCTTTCTCTTCAACCACTTTCGGAACATTTTCTATAGGTTCAACTGGACTCTTAACTGGTTCAATTTGTTCAAACTTCTCGATTGATTTCTCATTGACCACTTGGGGAACTTCTTCGAATGGTTTGCTTTCGGATTCTTTATCTTTCTTTGTTTCACTTACAACAGTGGTTGTAATAGTAGTTGTTGTGTTTGTCGAAGTCACTGTTTCTGCAGAGTTTTCCTCTTCATCAGACAAGAACATAGGCTCATCCAGAACAGTCATCCAGGTGGTTGTAGATTCGTCGATTGGAAGACCAGCATATGCAGGTTTATAGGGTTCTTCCTTTAGGGGTTCAACGGGTTTCTCTTCAACAGGCTTCCTTTCAACAACTTCTTCCACTGAAGTCTCCATTGGTTTTACTACCTCAACCTTTTCCAACGGTTTCTCTTCAACTTCTTCCGGCATTTCCACCACAGGTTTGATATCAGGAACCTTAGCTTGCTCGACCGGTTTCTTTTCAACAGTCTCCACTTCAACTACTTCTTCTACTATCGTCTCAGCTGGTTTTACGTCGTCAATCTTTTCGATTCGTTTCTCTGCGACCGCTTGCGGAACTTCCTCCACAGTTTTTGTTTTACTAACGACCGTTGTTGTAGTGGTAATGGTCGAGGTGACATTGGACACATTTTCGTCGGTCTTTTCAAAGACTTCTTCAGTAGGCTTTTGCACCTCAGCGGGAACATCATACGAAAATAGGTCGTCGTCTTCATCAATCATATCCTTCCATGATTTGGGTTCATTCTGCCCGGCAAAACCATCATTATCTTCGGGGTGGTCGTAAGTCGAAGTAACTCTCTCAGAGACTTTGTTCCATTCAAAATCATCGAAAGTCTCTTTTTGCGCCGAAGCTTCAACCGCCGGCCTCTCAAAGACAGCTCGCTCAATTCTTTCAATTGGCTGTTTCTTTTGTGGTATAGCTTTTACCTTCTCCGCTTTAGACGTTGGTCGACTGCGTTCATTACTAATGAAATCTGTAGTAGATTGACTAACTATTGTAGCCCAGGACATCTTAGTAGGAACAGCGGGGATATCGGAGTATATTTCAACCTCTTGGGTTGCCGTAGGTTTCGAAGCTGGCTTCTCTTTTGGCTGCGCCATTTCTTTTATTTGTTTCGCTTGTTTAGTACTCAAAGTTTCTTGCGGCTTTTCTTTCGGCTGTGAAACTTCTTTTCGTTGTTTCAAATCTTTCTTACTCACAATTTCTTTTGGTTGTGCGGTGTCTTTAAGCTCAACCTCCTTTTGACTTGCTATCTTAGCCCAAGTTAAGGTATTGGACTCTGTTGCAGGCAATTTCTCATATCTTTCAGAGTCACTGTCAGATGTTGTCGGCAGTGATACATCCTTTTGAGTACTTTCTTTAGGCGCTTCGGTACGTTCCTTTACTTTCTTGCTCACAGGCTTGGGTTTCTTAAACTTTTCAGATTTCTTTGGTGCTTCAACGACAATTTGCTCAGGCTCAGCTACTTTCTCTGCCTTCTTACGTTTTTTTATATCATCAACCCATTCGCCTGGTCGTTTTACTAAAGCTGCCCAAGAGAATTGTGGGTTTGGAGGCGCTACGGGTTCTTTTGTTTCAATTTGTAGTTCTGGCTTCTCGACAACCTTTGCCACTGCTGCTTCAATTTCCGCAACAGCGTCGGTAATAGCAACTACCTCAGTCCATTCAGTTTGCTCTTCGATATGAGTGTCAGTCTTTTTGGAAATACGTTCAGGTTTTGATTTTGGTTTCTTATCTTTATTTTCCTTTTCCTTTGTCTTTAGAGTCTTCGGTTTTTCGACCTTAGGCAATGGTTCTGATGGTGCTTTATGTTTCGTAATGGTTTCATCAATCCACTCGCCTGGTCTGCTTACTAGTGAAGCCCAAGATACTATGCCTGGCTGCGATTGTTTTGGAGCGATGTTTGCAGGCACAGCTGGCGCTTCAACTGCGCCATGGGTCTCTTCTTCTGATGTAATTGGAATCTGACTATTTTCTTTTATCTCATCGGATTCATCACTTTCTGTGGACTTTACTTCTTCTGCCTTAGTCGGCTTATACACGGGCTCTTCTTCTTCTTCTGGCTTGGTTGGTTCAATGGAAACATCTCTGTTTTTATTTTTCTTGGATTTTTTAGGCTTACGCTCCTTTTCTGGCGCTGCTGGCTTTTCTTTTGACACCTCTTTAGCTGGTTTCTTATCTGCCACAGCCGCTTTTTTCTCGCTCTCGGTAAACACCTTCTTCGTTTTACTAACGATGTCATCCACCCATTCACCAGGTTTCTTTACAATAGATGACCATGACATTAATGGTGCACGAGTAGTTTCGAGTTCCTTCTGAGGTTCTTTCTGTGGTTCATCTAAGACGGCAGGCTCTGGCTTCTCCTCAAGTTCAGCAGTAATATTTTCTGGCACCTCTTTCTCCATAGTTTCTACGATTTTTACGACCTTTTCTACCTTCTCAGCCTTACATTTTTCTTTCTTTGTTTTCTTTTGCGGCTCATCCTTTCGTTTGACTTGCTCGACTGGTGTAACCTCAGGTTCAGCTGGTTTTTCGGAAGGCACTTTCTTGTCTTCACTCACAGCTTGAATTGTGCTCGTTTCCCCTACATGCGAATGCTCACCAAACACGATATCAGCATAGGATTTACCCTTCGGCGCCTTTGAGTCTCTTGTATCCTCAGGAAGTTTAAATACCGGAGCATCGGCATTGAGTTGGGAAGGCCTCTCACTAATTTTCTCTTCTGGCTGTTCTTTATGCGACTTCTCTTCTCTCTTTTGTTGTTTGGATTTTTTCTGCACTTTCTGGGTATGAACACTTCTTTCGTTTTCTAAGAAAACCACATTTTCATCAGCATCCGTTTGGCGCAGGTAGGATGGTGTAAATTCGGGTGCATTAGGTGACAATTTGGACGTAAATGCAATATTTGGTTGAACAGGTGTTGTATCTTCTAACACACTTGACCACGTATCAATAACAGACTTCTCTTCTGGTAATGGCTTGCTATCGGACCACTTCGACACAATCAGCAGGTCGCTTTCGCTGATGCTTCTCTCTTTACCATAACCATCTACTGGAGGTGCTGTTATCTCTGGCGCGAGTGGTACATTTTCAAGGCTGTTTTCATTTTCCGACTTAACAGTACTTTCAGTTTTAACCTCATCCACGAAAGATACAACCTTCTCTTTCTTGGTTTTGTCGTCAACTGGTTGGTTTTCTTCATTCATTACAGTAGGCAGTTTAGGTTGCTCATCTACCGCTAACATACCCGCAGTACTTTGCTCTATAGCTTCAAACATGGAACTGGTTATGGTGGTAATCTGAGATAGAGCATGCTGGATTTCATCGATACCAATAGTTTCGGTATCTTTAACACTCTCAGACACCACAGCAGGCTTAATGGGCGTTTCTTCAACTGGCTTCACATCTTCGATCTTCTCGATCCGTTTGTCTTCGGTCACTACTGAAACTGTTTCTACAAGTTTTGGTTCTGCAGGCTTTACTTCTACTACTTCACTAACAACGGTGGTTGTTGTGGTAGTGTGAGACACCGTTTCTTGAGATGTTTCTTCTTCATCAGATAAGACCATAGGCTCATCCATAACGTCCATCCAGGTTGTGGAAGATTCGTCTATTGGAAGACCGGCATAAGCTGGTTTCTTGGGCTCTTCCTTTATAGGTTCCACGGGTTTCTCTTCAACGGTCTTCACTTCAATACCTTCTTCCAGTGAAATCTCAACAGATTTTACTTCCTCAACCTTTTCAAACGGTTTTTCTTCAACCAATTTGGGGACTTCTTCTACAGGTTCCGCGGAAATCTGAACTGGTTTAACTTCCACAACTTTTTCGATCGATTTGTCTTCGACCGCTTGAGGAATATTTTTTACAGTATTGATTTCAGAAGCTTCAACTTCCTTTACTTCAGTTACAACAGCGGTTTTGGTGACTGTTGTTGTGGTAGCCTGCGTCACGGTTTCTACAGAGTTGTCATCTTCATCAGACCAGACTATAGGCTCATCTAGAACGTCTATACAGGTTGTGGAAGATTCGTCTATTGGAACACCGGCATAAGCTGGTTTCTTGGGTTCTTCCTTTATAGGTTCGACGGGTTTCTCTTCAACAGTCTTCACTTCAATAACTTCTTCCAGTGGAATCTCAACAGAATTTACTTCCTCAACCTTTTCAAACGGTTTCTCTTCAACCAATTTGGGAACTTCTTCTACAGGTTCCGCGGAAATCTGAACTGGTTTAACTTCCACAATCTTTTCGATCGATTTGTCTTCGACCGCTTGAGGAATATCTTTTACAGAAGTGGTTTCAGAAGTTTTAACTCCCCCTACTGAAGTCTCAACTGGTTTCACTTCCTCCATCTTTTCTAATGGTTCCTGTTCGACCGCTTGAGGAATATCTTTTACTGAGCTGGTTTCAGAAGACTTAACTTCCTCTACTTCGGTTACAACAGTGGTTTTGGTGACAGTTGTTGTGGTAGTCTGAGTTACAGTTTCTTCAGAGTTTTCTTCTTCATCAGAGAAGACCATAGGCTCATCCAAAACGTCCATCCAAGTTGTGGAAGATTCATCTATTGGAAGACCGGCATAAGCTGGTTTTTTTGGTTCGTCCTTCACTGGTTCGATGGGTTTCTCTTCCACAGTGTTCACTGCGATGATTTCTTCTACTGGAGTTTCAACAGATTTAACTTCCTCAACTTTTTCGAACAGTTTCTCTTCCACCATTTGAGGACCATCTTGTACAGACTTGGGTTCAGAAGCTTCTACTTCCTCTACTTCGGTTACAGCAGTGGTTTCGGTAAAAGTTGTTGAAGTGGTCTCAGACACAGTTTCTTCAGGTTTCTCTTCTTCGTCAGAGAAAACCATAGGCTCATCCAGAACGTCCATCCAGGTTGTGGAAGATTCGTCGATTGGAAGACCGGCATAAACTGGCTTCTTGGGTTCTTCTTTGACTATTTCCACGGGTTTCTCTTCAATAGTTTTCACTTCGATAATTTCTTTATCTGGAGCCACAACTGATTGCACTTCCTCAGCCTTTACGATTTGTTTCTCTTCGACCACATTCGTAACTTCTGCTATAGGTTCTACTGGGATCTCAACCGGTTTCACTTCCCCAACCTGTTCCAACAGTTTCTCTTCGACCGTTTTAGAAATTTCTTCCACGGTTTTGGTTTCAAGAGTTTTGGTTTCCTCGACTTCAGTGACAACACTAGTTTTGGTAGTCATTGTAGTGGTGGTCTGGGTTACCGTTTCCTCAGATTTCTCATCTTCATCTGACAGCACCATGGGTTCGTCCAGAACATCCATCCAGATGCTGGAAGACTCATCAATTGGAAGGCCAGCATAAGCAGGCTTTTTGGGCGCTTCGTTAACTGATTCGACAGGGTTCTCTTGAATAGTCTTCACTTCAACAACTTCTTCCGCCGAAAGCTCAACTGGAGTATCTGCTGGTTTTGCTTGCTCAACCTTTGCAATGTGTTCTTCTTCGACCGCTAGTGGAACTTCTTTAACGGGTTTGCTTTCAGAAGCCTTTACTTCCACTGTTTCTGTAACAGTAGAGATTGTAGTAATAGTGGCGGAGCTTTCCTGCGACACTGTTTCTTCAGACTTTTCTTCTTCTTTCAATGTTTCGATTGGTTTGTCTTCTAGTTTCTTTACTTCAGCAACCTCTTGCATTGGTTTTTTAAGTGGTTTGTCAACTATTTTCACTTCTTCAAGCTTTTCTTTCGCTTTCTCTTCAACGATCTCTTGATCATCAACACTCTGTTGCACAACAGTGTCCAAAAAGTGTTTCTCTGCCTGCTTAATCGCCTCAACATTGTATTTCGGAGTTTCGTAGTTGAAGTAATTGCTAACGCTTTCTAGTACACTTGCCGTTGCAGCAACTGCAGTCGTTAGAATTGTGGTCGAGGTAATTGATTGCCTAGATTTATCTGTGTTCGACTCTTCCTTGCTTTCAGCTGGTGCGAAAGATTCGCTTATTTCTGCTGGCTTGACTTCCGCAACTGCGGTAGCCAATTCGAGTTTCGGTTCGACGTGCTTGACTTGCGAAGCTTGCATGTCTGCGATTTCTTCACTTGTTGACGAGGTTGTGACCTTAGTAGTCACGGTGGTGGCGGCGGTTTTCGAAACTAACTCATCTTCTTTAACCCCTAACTGAGTCTTTGCAACCTTTTCAATTAAATTTTCTTCGTCTATATCACTTACGTGCCTTACAGCGGGCTCCTCATCTTCCGGTGATTTAACGTTTTCTTGCAGTGTTTGGTATCTCACCTCAGCTTGTGCTAGCGTAGAAACATCATATTTTGGTACATCGTAATACAAAGGAATATCACTCGAAACTACACTAATGACCTTAGTAGGTGCGTCGACAACTGGCTTAGCTTCGTCTTTCTGTGATAATTCTACTATTTGGGGTTCACTAGGTTTGTAAGTATGGGCGCTAGTTTCTTCGATTAGCACGCTTGCGCTAGGTTTTGCAGCAGGTATTTCATTAGCAATAGCATTGTTAGTGGGTTCTGCGGTTGCAGGTAATTTGGTGTGTACTACTTGCACTTCTTCTTCTTCAACCTTAGTTTCTGCCTTAGGCTCGAGTGGTGTGTCGTCGTGTGCGGGTACCTCACGCTCAACTAGCTCGTGATACGCTTCCTCACTCTTACTAACTTCCCTAATCTTAAGCGATTTATCCTCAACCAAGTCAAGGAAAATATTTTGTTTAAACTCAGTTTCAATGCGTTCCACGCGCGCTTCTTCAACGGCAGTCCTACCTACTTGTGGTGCCTCCGGTTGCTCGCCTACTTCACTAGTCTTGCTTGCTAAACGTTCTTCAGCTAGCAGTTCTACCGTTCTATCTAACTCTTGCTGTTTGAAAAAGTCTTCTGGTAGCGCTGGTCGCTTTTTCTTATCTTTCTTAGCGAGTTTCTTCTTAATGTCCTCAAATAATTCTTGCTCTTCAGCTGTCATTTCTGCTACAAAGTCTGGTGTGTCTACAGCCTGTGTTTGTTGTACAGTGAGCTCTGCTAACTTTTCATCCTTTTGCGTATCGCTTGCTGTGGGCGCTCTGTCGGGTATGGCAATATTATTCACTGTAACTAAGGAAACACCTTCTACGATAGTAGCTAATGAAGTGTTCTCGTTGTACTCGCTGCTTTCTGTAATGCGTTTCTCTACTACACTCTCTGTGGTTAACTGATCTATAATTTCATCTTTCTTTTCTACTACTTTTTCTATTACAATAGGCTCTGCTAACCTAGTCACCGCTTCCGTGGTAGGCAGCACATCCTCCAGTTGAGGGGTTTCACTACTAACCGTCACACTGGAAACCTGTTCACCTTCCTCTACTTTCACGTTACTGCGCTCGTCTAATACCTCCTCCGCTGTCACCTGCTCTTCTATTATCTTGTGTATAATTGATTCTGTGCCTGTCTCAAGCTTAACCTCTTCCTCTACAACCTTTGTGCCCGCGCTTGACTGAGCTGTATTCTCCAACTGTGTTGTCAATGTTTCTGTAACTTGTAGGGTAACTGGTGGGAAATTGAAATGCATTTTCATTTTAGGGGTTTTGTATGTCTCTTCATGCGTTATGAGTGCAATCTTTCGCACTTCACCCGATTTGGGAAGACCGTTATAACTTTCGTCAACCAGCGTTAGCGGTTCACCGTCTTGTGTTTCAAAACTAGCTCTTTGTAGTGTGGTTAGTCGAGTACGTTTGGTAACGGTAGTGGTAGATTTTGTTGTTTGTTCGTTAGATTGTGTGGTTAGCGTCTTATTGGTAACTATAAGGTCTGAGGTGGTTCTTGTGGTCTCCGTACTACTTTTCTGTTGTGTTTGGTGCGCTTTCTGTTCCTCAACATTTGGTAACACTTTAGTGTCAATATCAACAACTTCAATGACAGTACTCTTCTTTGATTCTACTTGCTCGCTATTGGCTGAATCAACAATTTGAACCTCATCAATACCACTTGGTACATAAACATTGTCACTGCTTTCAGTTGGTGCATATGCTGTTGGCAAAGGTTCAGACAATGAGCTGACGTCAATGGTTTTCACAACCGGCATTGTAGCCTGTTCGGGCATTTCAACTGAGGATGTTACTATGACGTCATCTGGATTATCTACCTCTTTCAAAAATATACGGCCATCTGAAGCAATTGTCTTATTCAATCGCATTGTACGTATGGTTGTGGTTTTTATAATAGCGCCATCAGTTTGCGTTGTAGTGGTTGAGCTTTCGCTAGGCTCTTCAATAACAATTGGCGAGTTTCGTAGCTGTTCTTCGCTCGTTTTCGTATGCGCTGCTTCATCGCTGACGTTGGCGGAAACAGAATCGTATGGTATGCGTCTAATAAAGCTTGTCGTACGCACAGTCACAGTTTTTACTACACCACCGTTCTCTTTTTCATGCTCGTCGGTGGGCTCAACGACAGCTGTCTCGTCTGCAGTATTCTCGCTCGCCGTCGTCGTACTCTTTTCGCTGCTGCTTTCTTCAACGTTTTGTGTTATTCTTTTAACTGTTTTTGTCTTGCGTACGCGTATGGTTTTAACCACATCGCCGGCAATTGTTTGATCTGTGGCGTATTTTTCAGTTGTGGGCAATACATTTCTGATTTCGTATGCATCAGGTGTATCTACAATGGCGCTCTGCTCCTCCTCCACGCGTGCTGGTGGATACTCTTTTTCTTCCACTACTTGCGTAGCTTCACCGATTTCCGTAGCTTCGTTAACATTCTGTGACTTGATGCTCATTGTACGTACTCTGGTGGTCTTTATCACACCACTGTCATCGACTTCGCGCACAACTGATTCTGATTTCTCAATTTTCGATTCTTCCTTCGCTTCCTCTGCCACGTCAATGTCTTCTGCTGTTTCTGACGCCGTTGGCTGTGGCTCCGGTGACTCTGGTGACGCTGGTTTCTTCTGCATTATCTTCTTGACGAATTTCGTCTTGCGTACAGTGGTGGTTTTCACCACCCCGCTTGCGCCCTCTGCCGGTTGTTCTTCTGTTCTATTTGGTATTGCACTTATTTCATTCAGGGGCTCTGTGGTTTCTAATACAGGCTGTTGCTCTGTAATTGTTATTTCGGCGACTTTCTGCACAATCGCGTTAATCGATTTAGCATCGGCGTCTAAGTCGGTTACTTGCAGTCTCGGTGACAGTTGCGTTTGCTTCTCGCCGCTTAAAAAGTCATTTGTCAATCTTTTTACATCGTCTATGCGCTCAGTGGGAGTTGGCGCAGCGAACTCAACAAGTGGTTCTCTTTCATCAATATCTAATGCGAAGGCAACTTGCTTCGGTGACTTTCTTAAGGGTACTACTGTGACATTGCTGAACGGTTTAGGGATGTTTGTTTCCTCCGTCACGGTTACTGTTGTTTCAGTTTGCCGCGGTGTTAGTTCCGTTGTAGCGATAACCGCAGAAGGCTTATCTTCAGCCAAAATATGAGTTCCGCTCTGTGATTCTGCTGGAACTACTACTTCCTCAGTAACTGCTGTGACCGGCGCTACTGTTGCTGCTTTAGTCTCCTTTTCTGGTTTACTTTTCTTTTTCTCCTTCTTATCTTTCTTTGACGTTTTTTGCGATTGTTCAGCAGTCAGTTTCTCAGCATTGGGAAAATCTGTGATATGAGTTGTTACATTCTTTTCTACAACTGCATCAACTGACTCGACAACTGGCTCTTGCGCTGGCTCATTCGTACCAATAGGCACTTTAGCCTCTTCACTAGTAGGCGTTAGCGTCATGGTTTCCAGCTTGAACGCCGGTTCTCTTTCCACTACATTGACTATCTTTTCAACCGGACTTACATCCTCACCTTCTTCGATTAGCACTTCCTTACCGTCGATGATTTTCGTAACAATTTTGCGCCTTATTACAGTAGTTGTCTTGGTTATATTACCATCAGTAGTGGTTCTAGAGTAGGTCTCTGTTTTGGGTTCGTCCTCGGATACGCTGATGACTTCCGCAACTGGCTCATGCATCTCATGTGGCAGCGGTAGCGGTACCGATTTACCTTCAACGATGCTAATAGTTTGCTCTACCGATTCATTTGGCGTTTTCTGTGTGGTTTCTGCTTCCTCAACAATTTCCTCCTTTCCATCGATGATTCTAATTATTTTAGTACGCGTAGTTAAAGTTGATATCTTTTTCGTTGTTGTTTTGATGATCGATATGGCGTATCCATCTGTTGAAGAAAACTCTTCGCCGACAACAGTGATGGTCTCATCGGCGGGCGGTTCAGTGGCATTGAGCGATTCCTCGGTCTTGACGTGGATAACGGGTTCTTCTACCGTTGA